GGTTACGTCGTCGAGCCCAGGGCTCGACATACAACCTCAGATAGGTCTTATATTTCTGGTGATTCCCTGACCTCATCCACACAGGTTAACGTCGTCAAACCAAATATTCTGACATACAACCTAGGATAGGTCCTCAACATCCCTTTGGTGGATTCTCCCGACCTCTTCCACACAGGTTTAACGTCGTCGAAAAATATTTCTAACATTACAACCTCGCGATAGCTCTCATATCCTTGGTGGATTCTCCTGAACCTCTTTCACACATGTTAACGTCGTCGAGCAAAGACCTCTGACAGCCCAACCTCCGGAAAGGTCTCACATCCTTTGGTGGATTTCTCGAACCTTCTTTCATATAAGATAACATCACCGAGCAAAGCTCTAACATAAAACTTCGGCATAGTCTTACATCCTTGATTAACGTCGCTAAGAATGCTGTCAAGGGCACTTCCATTTAACTTCTCCACAAGTTAAATTTCTAATGATGTTGAATTTCCTTCTGGTCGCTATACTTTGCCTGCCAGGACTTTTCAACGAAATATTACCCGACTGTCAGCAGGCTTCTCTCGTCAAGCAGACTTCCTACTCGTCGTCGGACTTCTGCATCGTCGACGAAAATCTTCGTCGGTCTTCTACCTGACGTTGAACATCTACCACGAACGTCGGACTTCTCCCCTGGTCGACAGATCTGCTCTTAGCTGTACTCCTTACTCGTGTCGACTTCAGTCATTGACCAAACTTTCGTCGGTCTTCTAATTCCGAACGTCGAATTCTCTCTGGTGTCGGACTTCTGCCGCAGCGGACTTCTTCTCGTCGTCAGACTTCTGCTCGTCAGAAGACTCTACTCACCGTCGGACTTCGCTCATCAGCGGACTCCTACTCATCGTCGGCTTCTTGTTCATTGACGAAACTTTCATCGGTCTTCTCCCGATCGCAGAAATCTCCCTGGCGTCGGACTTCTGCTCTTCGTCAGACTTCTGCTCGTCCAGAGACTCTACTCGCCGTCGGACTTCTTGCTCATCAATACGGACTCCATCTCGTCGTCGGACTTCTCTGCCTCGTCGATGAACTCTTTCGTCGGGTCTTCTACTCGACGACGGACCTTCTCCCTGTCATCGACTTCTAACTCGTCAAGCGGAACTTCTACCCAAGTCGGACTTCTCCCTGTCGTCAAGAACTTCTGCTCATCAGCGGACTCCTACTAGTCGTCGGACCTTCTGCTCATTCGACGGAACCTTTCGTCGGTCTTTCTACCCGATGACTGGACTTCTCCCCTGTCGTCAGACTTCTGCTCGTCAGCGGACTTCTACCCGACATCGGACTTTCCCTGTCGTCGGACTCTGCTCGTCAGTTGACTCCTACTAGTCGTCGGAATTCTACTGTCGTAAAATTTCGTCGGTCTTCTTCCCAATTGTCGTTTTCTACATGACGCGTATTTCAGCAGTTCAACAAATCTCTCGAAGAAGAAGGGAGAAGAAATGCCCGTAGGCTTTGCAACGCGAGGGGAGCGCTAAAGTCGGCAGGAAAAAATTCCAACTCGCAAATAGCGGAAGCCTCAACCGCCAGTAAGCGGAGGGAGAGGAAGAAATCCGTGGCTTCTGTATGCGAGGAAGGGGCGCTAAGTCCCAGCAGGAAAAAAAATTCCCAACTCAGCAAATAGTTAGAAGCCCTCAATCGCCAGTTAAGCCGGAGGGAGGAGGAAGAAATCCTCGTAAGCTATCTGCACGCGAGAGGGGCGCTAAATTCGAGCAGGAAAAATTCCAATCTCGCAAATACAGGCGGAAGCCTCAATTGCCAAGTTAAGACGAGAGAGAGGAGAGAACCCCACGTAGGCTTCTGCACGCGAGGAGGGGCGCTAAGTTCAAGCATGAAAAAATTTCCAACTCACAAATAGGGAAGCCTCAACCTCGCCAGTAAGCCGAGGGATGAGGAAGAACATCCCGTAGGCTTCTGCACGCCCGAGGAGGGGCGCTAAGTCAAGCAGGAAAAATTCCAACTCGCAAAATAGCGAAGCCTCAACCGTTAGTTAAGCCGGAGGGGGAGGAAGAAATCCCGTAGGCTTCTACACCGAGGAGGGGCGTCTATTCGAGTAGGAAAAAATCCAACTCGCAAATACCGGAAGCTCCAAACCATCCAGTAAGCCGGAGGGAAGAAAAGAATTCCCGTAGGCTTTCTGCAACGCGAGGAAGGGCGCTATTCGAGTAGGAAAAAAATTCCAACTCGCAAAAACCGAAAGCCTCAACCATCAAGTAAGGCCAGAGGGGGAGGGAAGAAATCCCCGTAGTTTCTGCACACGAGAGGGGTGCTATTCGAGTAGGAAAAAAATTCCAACTTGCAAATAGCAGAAAGGCCTCAGCCGCCAGAGAAACGGACAGGTAGAAAGAAAAGAAAAGGTGCCAAAGTTTTCTAAAGGCCTAGGGACCTATTTATAGTTTTTTGAGAGAAAAAAGGGAAGTTACAAATCTTTTTCGAAATTTCATATTTTTAGAAATTTTTTCGGATTTTTCTTGGGATTTTTTTGGACTAAATGAACAAATTTCACGTTTGTGGGTCCACATTGGCGGTTGCCGCCAACCGGCCGCACACGTTTCGCGCGTCAGCACGGCGGATCGCGGCTGGTGAGCCGTGCAACGCACGCGCCACGGCAGGCAGCACACCCGGCGCGGCAAGCCATAACGCGCAGCAGGTTTGGCGCACGCCAGCGCGCAGGCAGGCCGGCCGGCACCCCAGCGGCGCAGGCGCACGTAAGCGCGGCGCGCGTTACCACGCCGGCGGTCGGCAGGCGGCGGTTGGCCGGCCGGCCGGTCCGGTCGGTTGACCACCTGGCTCGTTTCGGGTCCCGTTCTTTTGCCCGAAAGTCCAAATTCGATTGTTTTTGGGGTCCCCAGAACTCGTTTTCGACTCCAGGACTCAATTTTGGCATTTTCGGAGGTGTTCCGGGGCTTCTACAAGCCAGATCAATCTGGGTCAACTCGGAAAAAAATTCTCTGAAATTTTGACGCATATTTCGGACTTTTGGGCTCGACGTCCAAAAATAGGGGACAACTGATCATGTCATTTGCAAAAATTATCTTGATCAGGCACGAATCTCAAGTTGCAAAATCAGTTCGGGAACTTCAAAAAATTAAATTTGAGAAGCATATGAACTTCGATTGTCAACGAGCTTTATAGTCAGACTGAGGCGTCTCGGAATGACAGAACCAACGGACACCAAGATCAACAACCAATCCGAGCCCCAAAATGAGTCCAAATCAAGTGGTTCAAAGCGCTGTTTGAAGGTTCAAACCGCAATTTGAGTTTACCAAACGTCTCCGATTTTGACTAGCTTATATCGGAATCGAACGGACTCGACGATTTCGAATCCAACGAGCCCAAAGATCATTCAATTTCGCGATTTCATTAAGGCCTTTCAAATGTCAACGAACGGTGCATGATCAAAGGATTCGATATCAGCCGTCCATTCAAACCACTCCCAATCGCCCTTGATCTCACACCCTATTTCGCGGCTATGCACCTCTCCTAGAAAAAACTTAAATAGTCGCCTCATTCTACATCCAAGGGGACTCAGTGAAAGAGAGAGAAGAAGAAGAGGAGAAAGGGGACAAAGGAGATTCCTCGCCTCCTCGACCCCGCGGATGCTCTTCCGCCGCCTGAAGACGTGCGGAACTCTTGCCGGCGACTTTCGGTAAACGCCGGGGAATTTGCACAAAACTTCCACGTGATGCCTGAAATTCTTTACTTCATTTAACGACAGAGTTCACTCCTTATAGCGCCGAACTCCGCCCAAGGAAGAGCCGGATTTCTCCTCTTCCACCAAACAGACGTCGGACTCCTACCCGACGTCGGGGACCTTTCACTCTTCGCCAAGTCTCTACCCGACGCCAGACTTTTACCGTTAATCGGACTTCGTTGGACGTCTATGCGAAGATGCATTTCTTTCCATTGCCTGGAATTCTACCTTGACGCTGTCCTACTTTCGTCGTGAGACTACAGTCCTTCCGACTCTCCGTCGCCAGCCGACTAACGGTCCTCCTACTTACGTCGCCCCGCCGAATACAGTCCTTGTCCGACATCCGTCGCCCGTTGAATACGGTCCTCTGGACTTACGTCGCCTGCCGACTTTAGTCTTTTCCACCTCCGTCGCCCGCGACACGGTCCTCCTCGACTTACGTCGCCGCCGACTACAGTCCTGCCACTCGCCAGTTTTACTACGGTCCTCTTGAACCTACGTCGCGCGCCGAACTGCCCAGTCCTTCTAACAAGGCGAATACGTCGATAGTTAGCTCCTTTGTATTACATTCATTGTATGTACTCCAATTAAGATGTACATCAAGCTAAAACCTTCCACACAAGAAAGGGGCCTCATTTGCTAATCGACTACAATACAGTGGAATTCATTCAAACTGGGCTAGGCCCCGTGTTTTCTCCCCTTTACAGGGGTTTTCTACGTAAAAATCTTGGTGTCTCATAAATGCTAGACCCTCTCTCCTTATCTGATTGCGTACCGGATTTTCGTACAATGCTAAGACGTTAAATATGGTATTTCTCTACCGCCGCGAATACTCCTGGACGCAACAATTATGATGCAAAATTCAAAATAAATTGATTTCATTTACGTGAGAGTATTAATTATTAGTTTTGAATAAAAATGAATAATTAAGTTATAAATTATATGAATAACTCTTCTAAGACATATATATGTTAAAAAATAAATGAATACTGAATTTTTATTCAATATAAAAAAAGCTCTCAGATGATATGTATTTATTACATTAATATCTAAATATTTTTATGCAATATTATCATCTAAATATTTATAAAAATGAGATCAAATTTATATCATAATTATAATATAAGAGATTATTTTGAATAAATTTTATATAATCAAATGACTAAATTAGAGCAAAATGGTATATCAGGACTAAATAAGTCACACATAAATAATTAGGGGACTATATTAAAAAAAAAAAAAAAAAAATCAATCACGAATTTCACGAATGTTGAGTCTGCGTCACCGCTATCCCGTGCCCTCACCAGCATCTTTTTCGAACCTGTCTACTTCCGCCGCCCTTCACTTATATGCTCTTACTGGCAAATCCTCCGTCCAAATAAGCTACTTGTCTACGAAGAGAGGCGGCTCGCAGGGAGAAGAGGAGGAAGATAAAGGATATGGGAGTCGTGAAGGACGTGCAGTCAAAGGCCGAGCTGAGCGAAGCGCTTGCCGGAGGTGCGCCGGCGGCCATCCACTTCTGGGCTTCATGGTGCGAGGCTTCGAAGCAGATGGATCAAGTTTTCTCCCATCTTTGCACCGATTTCCCACACGTTCTCTTCCTACGTGTGAGCCCTATCGACTGCTTTGTTTTCTTTGCCTTCTCGTTCGACGTGTGCTTGCGATTGGGAAAATAACCCCGTTTGGTCTAATTTTGCTGCCGTCAATCTTCTTGTATTAGGTGTTATTGCCTCTTTTTGTCTTAATTTTGTGGGGTTTTGTGTTTTTCTCTCGGGCCGCGCCGTTTCATTTGTTGAGAGGGGAAAAAGGATAAATTCGGAGAGCGATTGTCTGGTTTATCCCGTGTTTCTTTCTTCGGGAAAATTTCATCTCATTTTGAACGAATAGTATGCTATGCTTTTACTGATTGTTCTGTCAGGTTTGGGTAAAAGCTACGTGGTTTCTATTTTTATTTCATCCTATGAGATTTGGTTGTGTTGATCGATGAAAAGTGGTTTTTGTTACATTATGCATATTTAGTTGAGAGTTGATTATCCTTCCTTCATAGGTGAATTGAAACAATCACAGTTTATCACTTCAAATGAGTTCATTTATTTTCAATTTTATTATCACCTTTATGGCTATATATATGAGACTCGGTCAAATGCTACGATGTTTTCAGCCCTTAGGAGCTATTTGATTGCTGGTTTAGCTTAAATGTTGCAAAACAGTTTTTTGTGCGTCATAAATTAGGCTATTTTCTTAAATCCTGTTTCAATCCGTTTTTAAGCTTAATCCCACATAGGTGGCATTCATTGTTTTCATTCTTTATCCGTACATTCATTTTTCTTTAGAATGTTTACATGTCATGTTCCATAGACATTTAACTATTTTCATTTTGTTTATTGCTATGTCCCATGAATAAGACAAACTCTTTGATTAAAATTATTATTTATGGCTTTGTTATAAAAAAACTATTGCTAATATGGTCTCATTGTTTACCTTTTTTTTACTCTTGCTTAAGTTTAGATAGACGCTTTCATGTTTGGTAATTTGGTGAACCTTTTATCTTCTTTCATTGGTTTATGCTTTATTTGTTCTAGCAGTGATTCTCCACACAGGGCAACCAACAATCAGTTTTTGCTCCAATGCCTAATTGAGCACTAGCAAAACAAGTAATTGTTAAATTCATAGAATTGGAGAGGCAAAATGCTTAATTTTATTGCTCAAATATGCCCGTATTTATAGATCTATACAATATATCTTAATAAAGAAACAAATAATTACAGAATCATGTATAATTGTTCTAATATAATCATTCCTAAATCAGCCACCTAAATATGGAAGGAGATTGGTGCAATCTTGGTGAGCATCGCATGGATCCACATCTTAGCCATGTGATCAAAATGCTAAGGGGCGGCGTAGATCAACACAATCTTGGTGATCCTCCCATAAATTCCTATCCTAGCCGTGGGATCAAAATGCCAAGGGACGGCTGGGATTTAACTGTAGCCTATGTGGTGCATGTGGATGGGTGGGTGGTAACCAGTTGTGTTTTTCATATGAAATTATTACGCAACTAATCCGGAACAAATCCTAGTTTTATTTTGGGTATAATGAAAAATAAAATTGTTTGAAAGGTGTCTTGTTTACTAATATATTACTTGTACATTTATTTTTGCTTTCTATTTTGGATGCACAATAATTTCATTCTCATTTGTTAAGGTATTTGGAGTTGATCTTTTTTGCATTTCGATTGCCAGTAGAATTTTTCATTTTTTAGGAAGATTATATGTAATATTGATTTTTTTTTTTACTGTTATGACCTTTTACTTTGCGTAGGTGTAATATTAATATTCATATTAGATAATTAAATTTGACCTTAATGTTTATTTTCTTCCATGGCTTCTTCAGAGATTGTAATACAACAACAATAAGCCTTTATCCCACTGTGGGGTCGGCTACTTGAATCCTTTTTCTCTATTATGTCCTGTTAAGAGTCAAATTATCATCTAAATCTAATAAAGAAAGATCATTTCTAATATTTTCGAACCAAGTTTTTTTAGGTCGACCTCTATCTTTCTTAACGTAAGTGAAATCTAATACATTTACTTTCCTAACCGGGTCATCGGAAAGCTGTCATTTTATGTGACTAAATCATCTATGGTGACTCTCTCTAATCTTATCTTCCACTGGAGCTACTCCAACCTTTTTACGTATATGCTCATTTCATATCCTGTCTCTAAGAGTACAACCACTCATCCGCCTGAGCATTCTCATCTTTGCAACACTTAACTTATTATTATGCGTCTCTTTTAATAGCCAACATTCTGCACCATAAAGCTCTCACTACCATCTTATAGAATTTTCCCTCGAGTTTAAGAGAGACTTTTCTATCACACAATAAGCCCAATACATTCCTCTTCAACCATCCAACTTGAATTCTATTAACTATTTCCTCATATTTCACCATCTTTTCAGAGATTGTAATGCTCAATATTATTTAGCTGTCAATGCTTTTGAAATATCATTGTTATTAGATGTTAGGGTTTTATCTTTCAACTATTATCCTTTTGTATTTTATTAAATATTATTGAATTAAACTTCTTAATGCAAATATTAGTTGTTTTGTTCAGTGTTATCCACGAGTTTTGATTCCCAGGATGTAGCCACCTTCCATTCTTGGCTTCTATTTATTTAAGATTGTAGCAGCTTCCTTCTATGGCGTTTCAAGTGAAACTAAGCCTACATGTGTTGACCTACAACACAAACTTAAATAGTAATATTTGTAATTTGATGAACATAAAGATCAACTACATGAACAATTCAATCATTGTAAATAAAGTGAATATGATGTGTATGAATATTATGATAAGTTTATGAGTTTTTGTTAGATTGGCCCATGAGGGGCCGGTCCAGCCGGTCAAGGAGGGATCGACCTATGTCTATACCTGGCGGAAGCCTTGTTCCTCCCAGGCTTAGCCCGCACCTGTGGGGCGGGCTCCACACATCAAAGAAGAGAGAGAGAGGGGGGGTGGGTGGGTGAGAGGGAAATTTGAATTGGAGGGGTTGTTTTGACTTTTTACTTTGTATTGTTTGCTTTTAATAGTTATTTCATCCTAGAGTTAGAGTTATGTTAATTTTTGGTTGAATTTGTATTTCTCTCGGGGTTTGCTTGGGCTTTAGCCGTCGGCTAAGGATTAGGAAAGCCGGGTCTTCCTCTTGAATTGAAGATACATTGTATTTGTTTGTTTTCTTCTATCTTTCATCAATTATCAAGTTTTCCTAGTGTTTTGCCACAAAATTTCTCTCAATTTATATTTTATTTTGCTGAAATTCCAAATTTCAGCTAAGATTCTTTTGATTTCTGCAATTCATTCCTATCAAATTGGTATCTAAACATTTTCTTGGGCAAAAAAAAAGTTATCTTTGCTGAAATCAATGCCTCATTAGTTTTGGCAACTTCAAATGAGGAGACATTATATAACCAACAACAACAACAACAACAACATCAAGCCTTTATCCCACTATGTGGGGTCGGCTACATGAATCTTTTTCTCCATTTTGTCCTATTAAAGGTCAAATTCTCGTTTAAATCTAATAACCAATTCAAATAAAATAGCACACCTATGATATGACTTTGAGCATTTGCAGGAGGCTTTCTAAAGGTGAAAAACTACCCTTGCCTGATCCAAGAATCTCTGAAAAGAAGTTTCTAATATTCTTAGAAACTTTTTAAAAAATAAGTTGGCAAGCACAACAAAGTGGTATTAGCTGAGAGCCTAGAAAGTCAGCCTTGACCCATATGAAGTTATTATTTAGAGAAATCTTTCTAAATGAGGGACCCATGATTTGGGGATTATATCATGAAGGGATAATGAATTTGTCTTCGAAGAAGTCCGCAAGATGAAGCTACCCTCATGATTTTGGCATTAGATCGTGAAGAAATTGGGAGATTGAGACAATTTATTTCAAACTGCCGAACTTTTTATGGAGATTGTCGATGGGGTGTTTCTCATATAACATCGTTAAGATCAAATAAAATGTTGCTAGAAGTTCATAAGCAAAATTAAATCATCAATAGAACCTCATGTGAGGGAGATCAACACCCTAGAAGCTGGACTATTGGATAAAAGTTCATAGTACAACTTGATAAGGATGATTTTGATTCTTTAAACTTGCTTGGATAAACTTGTTTTTGAACTCTTAATTTAGGCTTAGGATTATTCTTATTGGGAGATCGAGACATTTGATTTCAGACTGCCTAATTTCATTTATGGAAACTTTCGACAATAGTGTTTCTCATAGAAAACCGTTAAGATTGAATTGGATTGGGAGATTAGGGCAATTAATTTCAGACTGCCTAATTTTTATGGAGACTGTTGATAATAGTGTTCTTATATAACACCGTTAAGATCAAATAAAATGTCACTAGAATTTCATATGCAAAATTAAATCATCAATAGAACCTCATGTGAGGAAGATCAATGCCCCAGAAGCTGTACTATTAGATAAAAATTCATAGTACAACTTGATAAGGATGAATTTTACTTTTTAAATCTGCTTGGATAAGAATGTTTTGGAACTATTAATTTAGCCTTAGGATTATTCTTCCTGGAATTTATTTTATTTTGAGCTTATTTATTTTGTTGTTGTAAATATGTTTTCCTCTTTCCATGGAGTTTATTTGGGAGTGGGTTAAATGCCCTCCTTATTGTATTTGTGTATTTAAAGACTTGATTTATACAATAATTCTAAGCATAAATCTCTTTTAAAAATCTTCCATGCCCTTTTCCTCTTTTCACCTAATTAAATTCCTTAGCACGTCAACCTAAGTCTCCTGTTACTGCCTGCCCCTCAGCTAGAAACCATAACTCTAACCCTTTTACTGTTGCAAAAGCCACCAGTCACTGTAGCGAAGCTGCAACTACAGTTCATGGTACTGTAGCACAGCCACTAATTCCAAGTGTTTTGTGGTTGCTTTTGCTGATTGCGGCTGCTGCTTTGCTTCCGTCCCTTACATTGTTTGGTTCCAAGAGATTTCTGTGTTGTCTTAAGAAAAATATAAACTCAGATTTGTTGAACAAGACGAGGAAAATCAACTATTAAGTTTCTGTCTAGTGATCGGAAAGTCACATCCAGGATTCAAACTTGCCACCTACAGTAGAAGGAGAAAACGACTTGTTGTACAGGAGGAAAACTACCAGAACTTGGATTACTACCACTGTCTTGCTTCAATTGCTGCCTTTGTTTGGTTCCAAGGGATTCCTATTGTGTTAACTTAAGAAAAAACTAAGCTCAAGATGATGCGAACAAGAAAACACAGAGGAAATTAGCAAACAAGTTGCTGTCTGGTATAGGTTTGACTCTACTTACAAATGCATGCGTTTGAGGGCTGCCTTGGTAATAACATTTATGCAGCTCTCACTATTGATGATGAATTTATAGAATATTTCATCATGCTTAAAGCATGTCTGAAAGATTGAAGTCTTTTTTTCATTTAGGTTTAACCTTAGGTGTGATAATATTGCGTCACATAACATTCAAAGAGTTTTCAGAATAACTTATTTTCTTATCGAATTAGTATACAATCCTCTCTTTCGTCATCCTTTAACATTAATATGTAAGTTTCTATTAGGATATTCACTAACAAAGCGCCCATTTGGTGACATCTAAAACAAGCTTATTGAAAATTTTGGATCATGTAGTTGCTACCAACTTTTCTTTTGAATCTCTTGTGTTATTACCTTTAAATACAGTCGATTGGGTTTAGTTATTTTGGTGGAGAGAGAATTCCTCACATATGATGAAATTCTTTTAAGTTGATGAAATTTTTATAGTTCAAATTTTAAAGCTAGTTGAAAATTCTCCTCAAGCCAATTAACTTTATATGGCGTCAAGTCTCTTTTAAGCTCCAGCCTTAAGTCGATCCTAAGCCTAGAATAAATCATTTTTATATCATCACCTATTTTAGAACGTAAAAGCTATTCTTAGAACTTATTCACTTACTGAGTTATAGTTTTGGTTCATTGCTCTAGTGAGTTAAACTCATTGAGCAGATGATCTTGGTAGGATAAATATTATTTTTTTAAATAGGTATTATTTTAGCTTATATGGTAATTGGGTCTAGCCTCATCACTTCCCTCTGTCTTTCTGAAGATACCAAATACAGTTATGTTTGGCTAGTAAGTTTGAGTTTTAAAAACCATATTTTTTTTCTCACTAAATATCCTTTGCCAATTAAAGAAATAATCTGAATTCCTCACCTGGCTAGAAAAAAATTTAGAATCCATTCTTCCATTGCAGATAGATGCATAGATTTAGCTTCTCTAGTTGTGTTTTTGTTAATGTCATAAGGTTATCGTCTATGGTTATTATAATTTTTTATTTTCTTATTTCTTATTGCATTTCTTTGTGTCATATCTTTCATGGCCGGTTTCTCATCTCCTAATGATATTGTGAATGTGTTATGTATTGAGGTTGAATTTGTTATTCAGTTCTTGTGGGCATGGTTGGTTAGTTTTGAACTGGCCAAGTTGCATGTTAATTTGGTTTATTTCTGTGTTTAGTTGCTTTTTCTATCAACTCTCGTAGTTGGTTCTCCATGGCAATTAAAAGCATCATCCTTATGGTGATCTATTAACTTTGTTAAGATATCTTCCATTTTCTTCCCGACTCTTCTTTTCTCATGGTAATTCAATTGTGTTTGTAAATTTCCCACATTGCAACTCGTCAATATCTTTTCTTTTGCTTGGGGGATCTAGATCTTTACTAAAATTATATATTTTTCCCAGGTAAATCATGTTAGTAATACCTCTGAAAGCTCATATGGTACAGAGCATGCTACATTGCTTTAAATCAAAAAATTCCATGCATTTACTTTATTTTATGTGACGTGTCATTTATATGTTCACTGAAGGAATATTTGTCGACGTTATTTACTTTATTTTGTGGCGCATGTGTTGTCTATAAGTTGACTGAAAAGTAGAACCAGGTTATATTGTAATCTCTAAATGATGCTAATTGCAGTATTTTTTATGATTGGCTATATCATGGTCTACCTATTCTCCCCTTTTCATGACGCTCTTGACTCATTGCAGTATTTTTATGACAGGCTATACCATGGCCTGCCACCATGCCTATTCTCTTCTTGCGATATCTTTTTTCCTTTGTCATTTCCTATATACTTTGAATATAAACGCTTCATACATGTTCTTTGTTTGCAATTAACTTGTGTTTTTAATGTTCTTTCTCATTGACAGGTTGAGGCAGAAGAGCAACCAGAGATTTCTGATGCTTATGCAGTTTCTGCTGTTCCATACTTCGTCTTCTGCAAGGTTAGTATTAATTGAACTTTTAAGATTTTAACTTCAATTTTTTTTTGGCTTATATAATGGATTTCTTACTGAATGCCAGTCTGATTTTCATTTAGATTTTGAGGTTTTATCCCCTTTTCTCTTCATTTTGTTGCACCAACAGAGGATTGTGGGTGATATGATTTGTTTTGTAGTTTATTCAGAACATTAAAATGATATGATCATATTTAAAAAAAAAAAACAGTGATGCTAATGTGTGATGGTTTTAGGAATTCTTAATCCCTGATTCGAAAAATGGGATTTATAAATAGGATTAATTGTTTAATTTGAAGTTGAAGAGGAGCTGTTGAACTACTTGGTTGAATTAATTTTTGACAAAAATATCACATGATAGGTGAAGACAATCAATTTGTAAAATGATAATAAGTTATATTTATGGATTTGACTCTTGGACAAGGAAAACTGGACAGAAAAGAAATTGTACAAGACATCAGAATGTTAAGATGGATATTTGGATGAGTATTTGGTGATGGAAAACTATCATAGAGATTGCATGTGTATAACATATTTTCTTGGGAAGGCACTTAAAAATATGTTGAGATCATTTATGCATAATACTTGATAAAGTGGCGAGGAAGCTAGCCAAGAGTTGAGCTAGGATTAATAGGAAAGCACAATGAAGGAAAAATGTGCTAGCCGAAGTTAGCATGGTTAGAAGATGTTTAAAAGTTTCAGGTTAGTACAAATAACATCAAATGATGCTTTGAACAGGAATGAATGATGGAGAAAGATTTACAAAGCCTACCATAAATACTTTGATCTAAGCCAGTGTTGTTAATGATGATGCAGGTTTTTGGTGGGTGGGAAATTTGATGTGGTTGTACTAGTTTTTCTTTTTGTAGCTTTCCACTGCTAATTCCAATTATCTATAAGGTTGAGATAGAGGTAAGAACATTCACTTATATTCCCTCATGGGAAAAGTTTTGGGCCTTTGTAGTCATTCATCCAATGTTATGCATAATGCCTGCAATGTTTCTGATTTCTTAAATATTTTTTTTTAATCTTCATATTATTACTAATGTAAATTTGAAGAATATCCTCATAACTTCTTACTTGAATGAATTTTTTCCACTAATTGATAAAAACAATGTATTATTCGCGTGCTGCCAGTATAGATCTTGCAGGGAATTAAATAGGGCAACTTCATAATGTGCTAACAAATCTATTTATATATTTGTTAGGATGGAAAAGCTTCTGATACATTGGAGGGTGCAAATCCAGCAGTTTTGGCTAATAAAGTTGCAAAAATTGCTGGAACTATTGATAATGTAGAATCAGCTGCGCCTGCAAGCCTTGGGATGGCTGCAGGTCCTACAGTTCTTGAAACAGTTAAAGATTTGGCAAGGCAAAATGGCTCTTCGAAAACTGAAACAAAAATTTCAGTCCCGACTGAAAATTTGACCAAACGATTACAACAGCTTGTTAATTCTCATCACGTTTTTCTGTTTATGAAAGGAAATCCAGAGCAACCCAAGTGCAAGTTTAGCCGGAGGGTGGTTGAAATTTTGAAGAATGAAGGGGTTGAATTTGGAAGTTTTGATATACTATTAGATGACGATGTCCGTGAGGGCATGAAGAAGTTCTCCAACTGGCCAACTTTCCCTCAACTCTACTGCAAGGGTGAACTTCTTGGTGGTTGTGATATTGTAGTTGCCATGCATGAAAGTGGAGAATTGAAGGATGTGTTTCGAGACCAAGGAATCCTTTTTATTTCAAAGGAGAACATACCATCTTCTGCAGCTCAGGGATCTGGAAAAGGTGGAACAGCTGGCTCCACAACTCTTAGTACTGCTTTAGCTTCCCGACTGGGAACTCTCATAAATTCAAGTCCTGTTGTACTGTTCATGAAAGGAAAACCTGATGAGCCTAAGTGTGGTTTTAGTAGCAAGGTTGTTGATCTCCTCAAGCAGGAGAAGATTGAGTTTCAGAGCTTCGATGTGCTTTCCGATGACGAAATAAGGCAGGGTCTGAAAACATTTTCCAACTGGTCTAGCTTTCCCCAGCTTTACATAAAAGGTGAGCTAATTGGAGGATCTGATGTAGTTCTTGAGATGCATAAGAGTGGAGGGTTAAAGAAAATTCTTGCAGAGAAAGGTATTATCCAGGAAGAAAAACTCGAGGATCGCTTAAAGAATCTGATCTCATCATCCCCGGTGATGCTTTTCATGAAGGGTAAACCTGATGCTCCTTGCTGTGGCTTCAGTTCAAAGGTTGTTAATGCTCTTCGTGAGGAAGGAATCAGTTTCGGGTCCTTTGATATTCTATCTGATGAAGAAGTTAGACAAGGATTAAAAACTTATTCAAACTGGCCAACTTTTCCTCAACTATACTACCAAGGTGATTTGATTGGTGGCTGTGATATTGTCTTAGAATTGAGCAAAACTGGGGAGCTTAAAGCTACTCTTTCTGAGTAAAGGTATTTGTTTTGTCTAGCAAATATTTCTTTCTTGTAGTTCTGGAACCCAATATCATAGGGCTGTTCTGATAAAATTGATGTGTTTGACTATTAAAGAAGGACTTTTTTATCTCACCATGTGGGAGTATGCTTATGGATTCGTGATTATGGAACATCTGCTCTCTTTTTTTTTTTTTTTTTTTTTTTTTTTTTTTTTTGCATTTTGCTTATGCTGGCCCAGGCTTGATCTACACTACCATGAACTTATTTTTTTTTTTTTGCATTTTGCTTATGCTGGCCCAGGCTTGATCTACACTACCATGAACTTATATGGCGGGAGTACTTTCTCCCTTGCTTTTTTTGGGTAAATAACTCTTTTCCCATTTGATGCCAAAGAAATTTTATTTCATTTTGATCAAATACAATAAGTTTGCAATGTTGATGGGTGTCTATTCCAACATAAACCATGGGTCAGAATTTTGTTACACCCGGTTTAACCACCAGTACACATACTTTAAAATAAAGAACTGAAGATTGGTGTCGAAGATATCAGAGAACAAAATTATATTGTTAGTGTTAGAATTCATAGAATTTGAGAAGGGTAAAAATACCTTCTACTTATTATACAAAATTATCCCTATTTATAGATCTATACAAGATGTCTTAATAAAGAAATAAATAACTTCTAATTGATATATAATTACCTCAATATAATCTTTTCAAATTCAGCTACCCAAATATAGAAGGATATTGGCGTGATCCAGGTGAGCCTCCCACGGATTCTCATCCTGACCGTGGGATCAAATGCCAATGGATGACTGAGATTTTGACACTTCCCCTCATGCTGGAAACCAGCTTGTAATTACTCGCTCAGAGGTAGAGCTGCATAGGATATCAACCACCAGAGAAAGCCGGCAATGAAGGCCGATGATGTAAAACTATCCTCAAAATTCCGACAATTAAGGCAGGTTGTGGGAACTTGTATTCCTCAGAATTCCATCAATAAAGGCCGGTAGTGGGAACCTGTATTTCTCATAATTCCAGCAATGAAGGCCGGTAGTGGGATTTTGTATTTCTCAGAATTCCAACAATGAAGGCCGGTGGTGGGAACTTTGTATTTCTCAGAAATTCAGCAATGAAGGCTTCTCGGAGAAAATTTCCCTTGTCGACAATAAAGGTCGATGATAAAGAGTCTCTCCTTTTTTTTTCACTAAAAAAGATTTTTTTTTCTTTCCTGGTTTAATAAACCAAACCAGCCGAGCCTTAAAAAAAAGGCTTGGATCGAGACAAGGGCATGGGTTCGGGCTCCTCCATCGAGCGGGAACCAGAGATAGAAACAGGAAAGGGGAAGACAGACAAAGAGGGGACTTGCTCGTGCGACAGGACTTCGTGCGGTTCCTGCCGGTCGAGCGGAAGAGCAGCGAAGGATTGGCTTCCGTTCTCTCTCGTTCAGCTTCGTTGCTTCTCTCGTTCAGGGATCAGGACTTCGTGCGTTTCTTGCCGATCGAGCGGAAGAGCAGCGAAGGATCGGGCTTCCGTTCTTGGTTGTTCGACTATCTTCCTCTGACGACTTGTCCTTCCTGTCGGATCGGAAGTTTGGATCGGGGCTTCGGCTCCGTCTCAGCTTCCGGCTTCAGCTTGTGGGGAATCATCCGTCCCTGCTTCGGCGTACATGGAGTCGGCAGCGATCAAGTCTCGAATGCTCCGAGCTTTTTCTCTTCCTCCTCCGTTGATCTAAGATTGTTCTTCCACTGCAATTAAGGCCAGGCTCTGATACCATGTTAGAATTCATAGAATTTGAGAAGGGTAAAAATACCTTCTACTTATTATACAAAATTATCTCTATTTATAGATCTATACAAGATGTCTTAATAAAGAAATAAATAACTTCTAATTGATACATAATTGCCTCAATATAATCCTTCCAAATTCAGCTACCCAAATATAGAAGGATATTGGCGTGATCCAGGTGTGCCTCCCACGGATTCTCATCCTGACCGTGGGATCAAATGCCAAGGGATGACTGAGATTTTGACAGTTGGTACAAAATTTGATTTTGATAAAATACAATAAGTTTGCAATGCTAGTGGTTTAGTCAATAGAAGACATAAGACCGGTTATCGACATTGTAGAGCAACTAGAAACATAAAAGAAAACATTATAGTACAAAATTAGTAAAGGGACATCAAAAATATAAATGGGCCACGCCATCAAAAGCTGGCTTACACACGGAGCATAGAGAATAACACTACATCCACACCTTGCAGAAATAATGCTAGTCTTTAGTTTGGTTAGGCAAATTTGATTGGTTAACTTAGCATTTCCTAATCTCCTTCCTGAGGCTTTTTCTAGTCCTAACTCCAATAGAAGGATCTCAAACAACGCAGTATTCTGAAAAAATACATCAAATAAAGTGAAAGTAGGCACACAAATCATGCTAGGCAATAAGAGGAATAAGTGGCTAGAAATCATACCATCCTCATGATAGAAAATGAGGATGTTTCTAATTAAAAAAATAATAATAAGAGGATGTTTCTAAGGAGATGATGAAGATCATGTGCAACAACGAGGAGCATAGAAGAAAAATAATGTAGAATCTCTTGGAAACCATAGTTTTGTTAGAATATGGCATCATAAAAAATATAGTAAATCATTTAATCTCCGACCTGATACTTAAAACAGAGCAAGATGGATTTCCCATTTCCTAATGTGTCACCCATTATGCCTTCAATAAGGGGCTTGGTCTTTTGAATAAAATTTGAAGTTGCACAAAATATAGGAGGGCTGGGCCATCAGTTTAATTTGTAGGATGAACCGCTCTCCTGAGGCATTCTACTGGTGAAAGAAATTAGTCATTTTCCTTAAAAATTATCTCCAAGGAGACCAATTAGTGAAAGATGTACTCACCTCATTTTAATAACTACATGCATGAATATTGAAATGGCCTTTCAAAAGTAGCTCTTAATTTCTTATAATTATTCAATCAATGATGTCATGGTTTGTTTGGATGGTCTTAGTGCAATGAGGTTTGGAGGTGACAATAGTCCTGCCCTTAAAGTCATTTGATTGCCAGAAATTTTATGTTGACCTATCCATAAATATACCCATCAAATTCAAATTACTGTAGACATTGATCCTGGATCAGCCTATATAAATTCTTCAAGGATTCATATCTTGATTAACACTAATCTAGAGATTTTAGTCCTTAACTATTCCATTCATTGCCACAAGGGATATGATGTTCCAACACATGTTTTAAAAGATGACTTGGGTCATTTTTCCACCCCACATTTTCTTGATGGTGAAAATGCCGCCCTTATGAGAGGCATTCTAATCCAACACATATCAGGCCATGACTTGTAACTGATCCTTCTTAGCACAATTCATCAATGTACTATCGAAATGCCTATTATCTAAAATATTGCAGAAACCTCCCTCGGGTCATGCTATGGTGAAAGTATTACGTGCTGTCATTGGACACCATCCAGAGACTAATCAGGACGCGCCATGTTACCAGTTTACTGTGTATCGTTACTATGTATCGTTGTGTATTGGGTGGTGTGGAACATGGCTTCTGGACGGTACGGTGACCGCACGTAATAATTTCTCCATGCTATGAGCGCTTATTTTTTATTGAATTGCTTTCGGTCCTTTTTAATCTGCCGAAGCTTGGGATGAACGAAGCAGCCATTGATGAGCTCCATTTTCATCACAGTGGAGATCTACAGGCATTGGCTTCCATCCTCCCAAGAGGGAGAGTGCCACCATCAGGACCAGTTAGTGGAGGAAACTGAAGAAGATTGGTTTCAGGGAAGTTTTGAAAGAACGAGTACAGTAAAAGCTACATATGATAATTCAATTCTGCAAGGGCAAGTCAATCTATAGAAGAAGTTTTGATGAGTTGATATCACTAGTTTGTTTAGAGGATTCTTGCAATATAAATCCTGAATCTATAAGGAATAGATAACACTCAAAATTATCTCATTTACATATTCAAAATAAAACTTTCCCATTTACTCATATAAGTCTTAAATTTTAAAATAGCATAAAAATAACACCATCACCACTTCCATCACAATATTATCATATAGTTTTTCACACTCTGCCAATTCTATTTCCCTTCGTTGAGATTAATTATTCTGTGCGGATGCCGAATGCCGTCCGGAGACCAACTGAATGTGCCACGCCATCCCTCGCTCGGTACCACCGCTCGGTACCTCTGATGTGGCGCATTCTAGTTGGTCTCCATATGATATTCTGTGTTCGATCTCCGCAAAGAATAATCTCTCTCATTGGCAACTTGGGAGGAGTCATTATTATGTTGGTGGCGGTGGAAACCTCTTCCTAGTGAGATTCCCTTGCGATTTTCTCGTGTTTGATGAGATTCATCACGACTTACTCTTCCTCGTCTAGAATTTAGTTAACTTCAAATTTATAATATTGATATTTGAATGTTAAGTAAATGAGATAATTTTGGTCTTTTGGGTGCTATATATGTAAATCCTTTTTTTTTTTTTTTTCATTTTTTAATGTATTAGAATATCATAGTGATTATTTTAACTAAGCATTTCCTTTTGGGTGCTGTATATGTAAATCTCTAATTTTGGCCTTTTGGTTGCATTTATAATTGATTGTCATATGGAAGAAGATTTTTTATCTGTCATAATGGAGAAGGGGAAGCCGAAAAAATAGGTGAGTTGATTTGGTTGAGTTTATGCATATGAAATCATTAATCACATGTAATGAGCTAAATAACCCAACAAGAAATCAAATCTTACAATTGACCTCAACGCACAGTAGAGAATCAATTTGCATGTCAGTAGTCAAATCATATCAGTAGCATGCACATAATTATGGGGCAATACAATAGAGAAATCAATAAATCAACACAGGTGTCAAATCGCTAAATCAATTGTCATATCAATACTACAATCAATAGAGCAATCGTATAAAACATCAACAAAGTGCATTGAACATTGAATTATAAATTTAATCATTATTTTCTTATTCAGCATGGTGCAATGTATGTTGTGTTTAATGACATGGTGATATTTAACATACACTAAATAGTTTTGATTGGTGAATTATCAAATTTGATTTTAAAAGAACTTGGTATTCATTCAATCACAATTATTTTAAAAAAATATTTTTAATTTAATCATGAGAGGATCTTTTTATTTGTTCAATTTCAACAGCCTCCCGCGCCCATTCTCCGTGAGGGGAGGTAGGGGAGGGCACTTGCCTTTTTGGATCCACTTAGTTGAACCAAATCAACTGCGAGGACTTAAGGGGAGCAAATCGACCCTGAAATTGTTCTTCCATATTTCCATTGCACGCGACCTGTTAATTAAGTGTTTTAATTTTATTTTATAAGATAATTTTTTATGCCCTTTAAAAATCTGACAGTCTTTCAGTGCCCCCTTCCCGCGAGGGGAGGACGCTTGCATAAGGCTATGGAAGATCGACGCAGTCGAACCTGGTCGCGTCGAGGAGCAGGATATAGCCGGCGATTACAGGTGGAAGACAAAAAACTTCGGCTAGCTGAATTCGATGGTAGCAAAGGTCGAGATCAAAAGAGATGTCGGCCTAGAAGAGGTAAGCCACACAGCTTTCTTTGGTTCGGTTCTCAAAGAGTGTGAGAGTGCTAATGCTTCGGGTTGAGGGTTTTAGAAATCATGAGTGACAGTTTGTGAGATTATGGGCGAAGTTATGCCGGTGGTTAGAGGTCTGCGGTCAATAGTACATATTATTTCGAACTCAAGATTTTATAGTCGAATGAAAATGTTAACGGTAAAAAATATAATGGTTTTTTCTTGTTATTATTTATATTTTTTAATGCAATTAATCCATTATGAATGTAAAATTGATATGGTTGTTAATTGAAAGAAAAAAAAAAAAATTTGCTTTGGATCTTGGGACGTGACAATCATATTGGGTCTGTAGTAGTCAAATGGTGGTGGTTCAACGGTAGTCTAAGGGCGATGACAATTGAGTAGTGGTTTGGCAATAGTGCTCCGGTGGAGTACGAAGATTTTATAAATCTCTAAGCTCTCTTAAATCTAATAACGGAATATATTTAATGAATAATTATATATAAAGATAACGATCTTTATATATAGTGGTTTGGCAATAGTGCTCCGGTGGTTTGGCAATAGTGCTCTGTTGCCAGATAACGATCTTTATGACCTCCATCACCTGCCCACTACGATTTTTCATACCTCTATCGCCCGCCATATAACAGTCATTCTGACCTCCATCATTTGTCGACTACAATCCTGCTGACCATCGTCAGCCGAAGACGGTCTTTCTGCCCTCCATCTCCCGCCGACAATGGTCCTGCTGACCAAACTAACATATCAATGCTGATTCTTTCAATTTCCACTGCTAATGCATTATATATTATGTATATTTGTTACATAAACCCAATGCCTTCGCTCCAATGAAGGGCCTCATTTGAAATCAACTGTAAAAACTAGTAGATTTATTCAAACTGGGCTAGACCCCGTGATTTTCCCCTCTGCAGGGTTTTACACATAAAAATATTTTAGTGTCTCTTATAAATGATGCACCATCTCTCTTATTTGATTGTGTACTAGATCTTTGTACAAAGTTAAGACGTTAAGCTTTATATTTCTCTATCGCCACGAATATTCCAAGACGTAACAATAGGCTTCATAAAGCCCTTTTGATTAGCTAATGAACCAATCTCAAACAATCATTATTTTAAATGAACCGATCTTGACCATTATCTCAAATGCTTGTATTGAGCTTTAACTTAAGCTCAAATAGGTTCTAAATAAATTAAAAAAAAAAAAAAAAAAGATCAAACAAGCTCATGCTCGAGCAAGCTCTTACTTAGTTGGCTCAATCATTTGCAACCCAACCTCCTAATGAAGGATAACTCGTCATTTTCACAAATATTCGTTAAAATTTAAGATGAATAATCTCCTCTATTTATCAACATGAATTATCTTTCTTTATTGACATTAAACTTAAGTCAAACTTCCAATTAAGATTTAGATATTTATAAAATTCAAATTGATATAGAGAGGAACTGATCCAAATTTAAAATTTATTCAATTTTTATATAGAGAGGAACTGATCACAATTTTGTTAATAATGAATTAGGCCAATCACATAATTCCCAAGTAAAAAAAAAAATTAAAATAACATTGATTAAAAATAATCTCTTAAAGATAGTATAGTTAAAAATTAACTTCAGTGATTAAAGTAAGTTAATATGTGATTAGAGTAAGCTTGTCAAAATCCTCCTTCCTCAGCATTGCCAAAGCATTACATCACATTCACACAACCCAACTTAGGTTTCGTTTGGGACGGCTTTTTTACTGCTTCTTAAAACGGAATTTTAGTACAAACCAGAACTCCGTTTTAAGAAGCATTAAAAAAACCGTCCCAAACGAAGCCTTACTGCTTAAAAAGCTGCTTTAAAAAGCTGTAAAAAAGTCATCCCAAACAAAACCTTAATCCTCCTTCCAGGTCTAAATAGTAAATACCAAAAGCCAATTATATACAAACCCCTCCTATTAAAAAAAAAAAAAAATTATTTCATCTTTTTCTTTCATATCAGAACAACAGAAAGCAGAAGATGGCACAACAGAAGACAAACATCCATATCTGATTCAACCATCTCTCCACCTGCATCTCCTCTCTTCTCAGCCTCAGACCCCCTCCAACTGCTTGTTGATAGGGGCTCGAATAGTACAATCCTCCGGCCATCCCCGCCCCCACCGGATGATTTCGAAACACCCACGGCAGCACCGCAACCACCATTTCCCCAAGCACACCCACGGTGGCCGAGCTCACCATGCGCGGCGGCGGCAATGATGAAGACAAGAGCTCATCTCCGTGGCCAAGATGAGGGTGGAGGTGACGGTGACGTTGGTGGTTGGGGGGCCGGCGAGGGATCGCCAGGGCTTGATGTTGCCTTTTGGCCGGCCTGCCGCGGCCGTAGAGAGGCACGAGGGAGTCGTCGGAGAGGGCGGCCTTGCATACCGGGCAAGACTGGGGAGGAATTCTACCTTCCATATGTAGCCATTTGTAGATGCACGGCCAGCAGTAGAGATGGCCGCAGAGGGTGACCACTGGATCCACTGCGAAGTCCAGGCAGATGTTGCAGTCGAAGCCGCCATTGTTGGCGGCAGAGGATTGTTGTGGAGCTGCGTCGCTGCTGAGCATTTTTAGTGGGAATTCATCCATCGTTGTATTTGTCTCCGTTTCTGAAGGCACAATCAATCCAAATGCTTTGAGCTGCTTTTGAGATGGGAGCAAGGCGAATGCTTAATAGAATCAGAGAAGACAGATCTTTATGATGTCATAAAGTGCAGGTTCAACCGAGAAACTAATAAATTAAAGCCAATCATAAAGAAGGTTGGATAGATTTGAACTCCAACACTAGAAAAATATGATTTTTATGAGAACTTATTAGGTGTGGACACCGGACGTAGAGAACCGTCCAGTTTTCTCTCTATCTATAGTCAAAGTGCAATCAAAGTGCAGTTACTATAGTAGTTGAACTTTGATTGTGCTTTCACTATACACAGAAAGAAAACCGGACAGTTCTCTCCATCCAGTATCCACATCTAATAACTTTGCCTATTTTTATAAGGTCATAAATTCAATTCATATATATATGCTAGATTTTTCACCCATTTATAAAAAGATTATAAGCACATTTTGATTTATTTAGCATTGTATGCCCAGAATGTGAATTTTGGATATATGCCAGTCACATGCTTCTTGGTCTTAGATAATGATTTTTTAGTAGTTTTGAGTTATTAAATGGTCAAGTTGTTAGTGGACCCCTTGCTTTCAAAGCTGCTAATTAAGAGGGTTTTCAAAGATGCTCATTAGAGGAGATATGTGGTCCATTTGAAATAACTTTTTTATTGCTTTCTAAAATATCTTTTTAATACAAAAAAAATTTAGAACTCAAATTTTTTTATACTAAAAAATTATTTTAGAAAACAAAAAAAAAAAAAAAAAAAAAAAAAAAAAAAAAAAAAATTGATACAAACAAAGTCATAATTAACCAGTCAAGATTGACTTTCAGAGAGATGAAAGTGGATCAAGTTGAGAACAAATAGGATGGATGCTGAGGAGGTCAATAGATGGGCCAAGAAAGCCATTGAAGCATGTTTCAACTAGTCATATTACAGAAAATTTGATTATCGAATGTGTTTCACATGTGAGGGAAATTATTATTTCATTAAACCCTTATTAAGATGATAACTACTCGCATCAGCATTAAATACCAATCTAAAGGGTAGGTATAATTGAAATGCACTCTTAATAATGGGAAATTACAGGCAGCCAGTTTTAGTCCCATCTCTATTAGAAGATTTTTAAAGCCCTGAGCTCAAGAAGAAGAAGAAGAACAGGATAAGGTTGCAATTATTTTATTATTTTGGTGGGAGGTTGAGTGCCGAAGGAAACGATTCAAGAAAACGACAAAGGTATACAATTACAGGCAATCCTAATGGTACGCACATGGCACCTGTAGTAAAGAACATAAATATCTTAAGCCAGAACGATCAGAGCTTGAGGTCCACTGACAGCAATATGATTTCCTTGTATGTCTTTGTTTTTTTAAACCATTAAATGAAACTTCAAACTCAAGATATTTTGGTAAGTTGTTAAAATTTTTAACCAACAGAATTTTCTTGTAAGATCGAATTCAAGACCTCTTGATCAACAATCAAAGCCTACAACAAATAGAATTTAGTATTTGTTTGGTTATCGCTTAACTTTTGTAAAAGATAGTTTTAAAAATGTTGGTGGAGCAATTGGTGTTTTCAAACAGAGAAGCATATATCAAGAAACTTCTCAAAACAGTAAAAAAATGAAGTTCTGCAAAAAACATTTCCACATAAGCGGTATATTCAAATAGCGACAAACGCTCTTTCCAAACAGAGAAGGAGAAAATAAGCCGTGTCAAACAAGGCCTTACTGGTAAGAATAGCGTGTTGGGCTTGGGCATATGTTTTATCATCTTGGAAAACAAAAATTTCAATAAAAACTAGAAAAGGTACTACATTTCCGGTAGTTTTGGTAGATGGAGACGGAATTGTGAGGGCCGATGTTCCTTTTAGAAGAGCAGAATCCAAGTATAGTGTTGAACAAGTAGGGGTAACTGTTGAATTCTATGGTGGCGAACTCAATGGAGTCATTTATAGTGATCCTGCTACTGTGAAAAAATATACTATGCGTGCCCAATTAGATGAAATATTTGAAATAGACCAGGGTACTTTGAAGTTCAATGGTGTTTTTCGTAGCAGTCCAAGGGGTTGGTTCACTTTTAGGCATGCTACATTTGCTTTGCTCTTTTTTTTTGGGACACATTTAGCACAGCGTCAGAACCTTGTTCAGAGATGTTTTTGCCGAGATTGATCCAGATTTGAATGCTCAAGTGGAATTTGGAGCATTCCACAAACTTGGAGATGAAAAGAAAAAGTTTTTTCTAAGCATAACTTATAAAATCGGCCATTGTTTAATTTATAAGAATAAGCAGATGCACCATAACTATATGAAATAGCTAGGTTAATAAGATCAATTAGCTTTCTTGCTCACACCCAATGATAATATGGAAATAACTCATACAAATTGATCACCTAAAAATTAGAACTATTATAGACAAACTCTACAACAGCAAGAACAAGATTTGAACTAATGCTATGATAAATCACTGAGCACCTAAGCAAGTATCCTAAGCTCATATTAACAACTAAGGTTTGACCATCAATGTTTGTGTGATGATAGGTTGTCATAGATAGAAATTTTTTCGCCAAGTTTTTTCTTTAGAATTTTTCAGAAATAGCTTACAAATCGCACATCAAGATTTGACATATAAACTATCGCACAAAATAAAATAGATGTTATATGAGACATATCAGACACTTATAAGATGGAATGAAGAACGTCGTCTACAAAAGCGAATAGGGATGCAAGCGAATTGAGCGTTCGACAAGTAGCTCGAGGCTCGACTCGATAAGAGCTCGTTCCTGATCGTTTAAAATTAGTTAGTTGAACAAGCTTGAACACTTTCGTAAATACTCAGATGTGTTAACAAACAAGCTTGAACAACAAGATTGAATAAATAAGTTTATCTACTATATATTTTCCTCTATACATGTTTAAAGCTTATGGGAAGTAATTAAAATAGCTCAAGCTCAAGTGGTGCTTCATAAAATTTTCATAATTTTTAGAATAGAGATCACATAGTTTAGTTAGGTCTGCAACCTTCATTAAAATGGTCATTAATTTCTTACGTAGAACCTACCTATTTGACTGTATTTTGATCTCAAACCTAATTATTTTTTTATGATTTCATTTCACTTTTATTAATAAAATATTTAGTATTGATAAAAAAAGGGTGGAATGCGAAGAGGATAAGGGAAGCCTATGAGAAAGTAGGAGATAAGATCATGGGAACCACGAATACAAAAAAACCAACAAATCGGCAAAAACAATGCCAGCCAATTCCCCATCAATGATGATGACGACCGCCGATGCCAATTGTTGAAGCATTTACAGATCCAAATAGAGTGGCGCTCCAGGCTGGCTAATCGAGAGTTTTCTCGTCATTGTCAACAATAATATAAATTCCAACGCATTAATCTATTAGATTTATTTTTTAGACATTTTAGCCAATCGAGACAAATACATACATCTCATACATAAGCTTCGAATTCAAAATCTTTTGAGTGAAAATCAAAGCTTCTAACCAATAAATAAACATGAACTGCATATCTATTAGATTTTTAATAAATTTTTTAAAAGGTTGTCCAGAGAACAAAATTAATCTATATATATATATATACTAAAAAACTACTTTAAGAAACACTAAGAGAGTTGTAGCAAATGAAACCTAAATATTGTCGATATTTTGGTTCAAAGATAGAAGATGGTTTGAAGCATGAATTAATTTTTGGTTCAGATCGAACTAGAATAGAGTCAAAAGAGTTTTTTTTTTTTGAATATTTAGGTCAATTAAGACAAATTCACACATACATTATATACACAAGACTCAAATCTAAGACCTATTGGTTAGTAGCTAAAGCCCCAATCATCAACCAAGTTGAATTGCGTAATCAGGGTTTAGATAAATGATTTCTAGATAACAACATATCAGTTTGGTTCGCCGACTTAAACGGAAGGCATGTAGGTGTTGGAGAAAGATCCGATGAAAATAAACATAGATAGTGCATAAGTGCATGATTGCAATTGACTGTAGATCAGTTGGTTCATCAAAACAGGAGAATCGGTATAATTGTTGACATTTTCTATTTCTCAACGAATTAATTTAATCATATAATGAATAAATTAAAGGAAAACCGCAAAACAAGATAAAACACGAAAAGGGAGATCGTGAATCCTCTCGCCAGTCATCACAAAGCTTCTTCTCAGACATGAATATCCATGAAACCCAGCAAATATAAAAATCATCCCAATAAAACAAGAATTTAAACTATAGGCAGATCAGATGCAGGGTTTTAAGTCGGAATGAAACCAAAGGAATATTGTTATTGGAGAGAGATCCGATGGTAGCAAATGATCAAGGAGAAAGTGGCTTTACAAACCCTAGCGACTCACAGCAACTCAGAAAACAGGGGAAAACAAAATTGAAGAACTGAGCTGAAAACCGGGATAAACTGATGGAAAAACCCGCTTGCCAGCCTTGCTAGTAAATAAATCATCCAAAGAGAATCTATTACCAAATTCGCATAGAACAAGCGTTCCTCGAATGGCGATGATGCTTCACAATCCAGAGCGGCGTGCTAATAAACTCCATGGAAACATAAATCTTTCAAGAAAGGAAAATAACTCACCGATCGGAAATGGTGAATGCGCTACATGGTTCGGTTGATCGAAGCGCGCAGCTTCCTTGCATGAGAAGAAGAGGTGGGCTCGAAAAGGGAATTTTCGAAGAAGGAGACGAACGAACGAGAATCTTTGAGGAGAAATTCTTGGGTCCGAATTTGATAATGGCTTATGTTGAAGAGTGCAGTTCTGAACCTAAGATTATCTCAACCAAAATCCTCATTTTACGCTTCAAAATACAACAAAATAGCAGTAATTCATATCAATAGATCTTCATTTTAAATATAAAAAAAATATGGAGTATATTCTTTCTCCAACTTAAAGAAATAAGAAAAAAAATATTGTAAGTTAACAATGTTACGTCAATATTGGCATCGCACTATTCACCTCGTGCAAAATGCTGCTAAATCTGGCTTTCGGTTGGAGCTCCACGACCACTGCAAATGCTCTTTTAGGGTTCAGTTGGAGATGCCCTAACAACGGATATTTGCGGTTCATTAGAACTATTATTTTATTTGATGTTATATTGTTAAGATTTTACTTTTAGAGGAAATTAATATATATTTTTTTAATATTTCGATCAATTTAGATAAATTCACATATATATGACATACACAAGATTCAGAATTTAAGACCTTTTGGTTGTTAGCCAAAGTCCCCAGTCAACATGACATAATTATGTGCGGAGTTTGAATATAAAGTGCGAGTGTACACAATATGTTCTGGGCTCCGCACAAAATAATTTCTCCAAATCAACATATGAAACATCATACTCCAAGTATTGGACACAAACCATCTGATGATTGAAGCAATTGTTAAGAGACTAACTAGGCTCATATTTTATATTTAATATAGCTTGAGAGTCCTTCAATGACTTTAGGTGCAGATGAATTGCATGATAAACTACTACTTGAATTGAGAAAAAGGAGAAAATCATTCGTAAAGGGAGACGAGATTATCATTGTAGCGGTGTCTCCTTGACGAGAAATTATTATGTGTGGATGTCGAATGCAGTACACCGTCCGGAGATCAACTAGAATTCGTCACGTCAGCAGTACCGAGCCACGGTACCGAGCGGGGTGACGTGACGCATTCTGATTGGTCTCTGGACGGCGTTCGACGTCCGCAGAGAATTATTTGCCCTCTTTGATGACGATGAATAGGAGCTGACATTTTCATTGTATCATTGATAATGAGGAGGGAGATTGTTGAGTTGAAAAGAGTGTCATGATCAATTGAGTCCAGCCTCCCTCCATAAGGAATTTTTATTAGATTCGGACACCTGACTTAGCTCTACATCCGGACGCTAATAAAATGTCGTCACATGCTCTTACTCTTTATTGTGCGGCCCGACGTCCCGACCCGGACCGGAACCCAATCTTGCTATGTATTAGTTGATTTGTACATACCATGGTATTGCTATGTTTTGCTCGGTATTGTTTAATAACGAGAAATACCATTGTGACAAGAGCAATACCTAGCAATACCGAGCAATACCTAGCAATACTGAGCAATGCTCGGTATGACAGAGCGGTATTTCTCGTTATTGCCAAATAATACCTAGCAATACCGAGCAATACCTAATAATACCGAGCAATACCTAGCAATACACGAACATGGCAATACCTGGTTTCCGTTCCGGGTCAGGTCGTCGAGCCGCGCGAAAAAAAGTAAGAACACGTGGCGTCATTTTATTGACGTCCGGATGTGGAGACCTAAAATCTAACACTTGCATGTTAAGACCCATTCAATTACCAATTTTCTAATTAAACATTATTTTTTTACCAGAGAGGGCAACAATATCGAATTTGCCATCATACATTTTCTATACACAACTATCGAAGCTCCGTCTCCGCCACTTTGTTCTTTCCATGCTTCACCTTTGCTTGCATTGGATTGATTTTTTTTTTTTTTTACAACTTAGAACTTTTTTTATATTTTGAAAATTATTTTTTAATAATAATTTGCAATCTATATTTTGAAATTTTGAGACAACATAAAAAATTAATTACTTGTTTTTACGTAACTATTTTTATCACGAAAGAAATACAAATTTGTCACAAATAAAGCCTATGATAGGATGTGAGAAGATGTGCGCGTGCAGCAATCGCCGAAGCTTTGACGGCATGCTTGTTGTGAACGGCACGCGACAAGCACAGCAGCTAAACTGCGATCTTAGTTAGGTAGAACATAGACCTGTTAATATTGGATCCGACCTGAAAACCCCGTCAGGGTTCTGAAAAAACCCATTTTGAAAAATCGGGTGGTTCGGGTTGACCCTGGAACAACTCGAAATGACCCGGAATGCACACAAAGTGATCCTGCCGCGTTCCGGCTGCCGCTGCCCGGTGCCAGCCTACCCGGCCGCTGTGTCCCGAGGCTGCCTGCCTGCCTCGCATCGCGTCCCGAGGACATCACGAGTAGCGTCGGCAACTCGCGTTCCGCACGGTCGCGGACCGCTGGCAATTCCGCGCGTCAGTGCGCCACGTCCGGCTTCCCGCGTCCGGCAGTTCCACGACGGCGCGACAATTCCAAGCTTCGGGCTAGTTCAGTCGCAATCGTCGTACGGCGTACGGTCGGCTGTAACACCGGAGCGTCGGGTCGGGCTGACCCGAACCCAAAGCGGGTCGAGCTCGTGTCCAAAAAATCGACCCGTTTGAAAAACGGGTCTGGTTGACCCGAACCCGAATAGCGCCGGATCAATTTCAGATTCGACCCGAACCCGACCCGTAACCCGAAATTGACAAGTCTAGTATAACATTTCCTTGACTATTACAGAGTATTAAAAGCTTTGAAATTCAAATAATTGATCGAATTTCCTTTCATCCGAACAAAACAGGGCAGGAATGCCATTTTTTAGTCAAATAAATTTGAATTAAAATCAACAGAATACTTAGATAAAGTTGAATTGTACTGGCTCAATGATCGATCGATATATACATATAGAACTAAGAATTTATCTTTAAATAATTAAAAAAAAACATTTGAAAATGGAATTTTTTTCTTGATCATAAATAACGAAAATCTTCATGAGCATAACATAATCTCAATCCATTTTTACTATCTTTAAATCCTCAATGAGTTTACCACACTACAACTAAAAGTTTCCTTTGAGAGGGCTTTCTTATTGCTTCTTAAAGCAGCTTATTAAATTTTTTGTACTAGAAACCTTCATAACACAGCTTTCTAATACAAAAATTAAAAATTTATACTAAAAATCTGCTTTAAGAAGCAAAAAGAAAGTCTTCCCAAACGTAGACATCTTTTTTACTACTTCTTAAAACGACTTTCTAACATAACATTTTTTATTTTTATACTACAAAGCAGTTTTAAGAAGCAGGAAGAAAACCGTCTCAAACGAATTGACAACTTTCTTGTTGCTTTCTAAAATGACTTTATAGTATAAAATTTTCTAATTCAATAAATTTTTGTACTAGAAAGTTATTTTAAAAACCAATAAAAAAAACCTATCCCAAACGAAACCGAAGTCTTCACTTGGTACAGTTTTTTTACTATTTTATAAAACAGCTTTATTTAAAAAAAAAAATCTTGAAAACATAAAAAAGACAATGGCAAAAAACTATCCCAAACAAAACCTAAATATAAGATTCATTTTCTTTTGAATCTACTGTTAATTTCTTTAATGGTCAATCTATAGCGACATTCGTATAATTTTTCAAAATAATAATTTGAAAATAAAACGTAGAGGCAACCTTCTCATCAACTCCCACTAAAATATTTAAAAGCTATCAAACAGCACTGTGAAATATATCAGAAAGTGCTCATGCTAACAACACCATTAAGGTTTCGTTTGGGATAGCTTTTTTACCGCTTCTTAAAGCAGCTTTTCAGTAAAAAAAATTAAAACTTTTGTACTAAAAAATCGCTCTAAAAAGCAATAAGAAAGTTGTCCCAAACGAAGATTGTAGACGGAGATAAGAAGAAGAGTATCACCAACCCCTTTGATATGTACAAGCAGACAAGAAAATCATCCATAGAAGAAAATTGTATTAAAATGTTGCACTTGGGGGATAAAAAGCAGAGCAGCTAATAATAATAGAAAAAGGACTTTGGAAATGCTCACCTCTACAGTCTATACAAACTTCTCAATGGAGGTAATCAATGTGCTCTCTGGAACAGCCCCAATGACAGCATCTTTCTTCTCCCCGTTCTTAAATATGATGATGGTAGGGATGCTTCGAATGCCATATTGGGTCGCTATTTCTGGGCTTTGATCTGTATTAAGCTTAAAGCAGTTCAACTTGCCTTCGTATGTCTTCGATAGCTTGGCAATGACGGGAAGAATCATGCGACAGGGCCCGCACCATGGTGCCCAAAACTCCACCATCACTGGCTTGTCGGAGTCCAAAATCAGTGATTGCCACGTATCTTTGGTCACATCAGGCACTGCAATAGCATCAGGATTCAGAACAGACAATGATGAAGCTTTTAAGGACTCGTTTGGTTCCCGACGTTTTTTTCGTTCTTAAACGGAGGAATTACGACAGAGAAGCATAATTTTTTTCTTCTCAGATCGGCAAAAATATGGAGGTATAACAAAAAGAATTTTGAAGAAGTTGTGTATACAATCAGTAAAATAATAATTTTTTCACCGATTGAAATCGGAGAGTAGAGAACTTATGGCCAGCCAAAATAAACCAAATGAGGCCTAAGTTTCATGAGAGTGTATAATCAAGGAGAGCATCTGCTAACGGGCTGTTTGGATTGGTGTATTTGGCAAGCAATAATATGAAGTGAATGAACTGTGAAGTAAAATAACTTAATAACTACATACCAAACGCCCAAACAATTAATTTTGCATATAAATGCCTTTGAACAACTTTTTCACTCAATCAAAGAGCCTTTAAAAGAAAAAATTATTCCGTGCGGACACCGAACGCCGTCCGGAGCCCAACCAGAATGCGCCACATCACCCCTTTGCTCGGTACCACGGATGTGGTTCTACCTGATTCGCTGGGTACCACAAATTTTCCAAAAAAAAAAACTTACAAAAAGAGAAATAAAAAGGAAGTATGCCAGAATTCTAATTTCAGTTCACTTCTGCACACAAACATGTGGTCACTTAGCCTTCAAGTTGGAGGCATTCGTTCATTTAATATTATAATAGTGCAAGAAATACAATCAAAATTTGAGAACCTCTAATTTGCTTATTTGCAGAGATGTATTTATTATTTGGTCTAGCTTTAAGTAATGAGATAGATATAAATCACCAAAATTATTATCCTATTCTAGGCAGCAAAGATATTAACATAGTTGTTTCTTTTAAAATTTCCTCTAAAAACTGAAGTAACATAATGAGGCATAAGAATCATAATGAAAAAAAGAGGCTCTTCATTGTTTCGGCATCAACTAATAGAATATGGTAGTCTTCATCAGTCTTATTATTTTTAGTAATTAAATTTTATCTATGATTTTCTTGCTAAATCCTTAGTTTCAGCAAGTAAATCAAATTCATTTAAAAATTTATATACACAAAACAAGTTTTCATAGACAACACTGCCATTTTAAGGTTTCAAGCTCATCTCTCAGATGCACGTAAATGTTGGCTGAGTTGAAAAATCAGGCATGATATTAGAAAGGAAAATTGTGATCTTCATGATTCTTCTTATTATTTTTGGTAATTAAATACTTAAACAATTTCTTACAAACTCCATAGTTTTAGCAAGTAAACCAAACTCATAAAAATTTCAATACATAAACAAGTTTTCATTGAAAACACCGCCATCACCCATTACTGAAAAAAAATAAGCTCCTATATTTCTAATAGGAAGTACTTGTAGATCTCAAGTATTTCATATCAATCTTTGGAAAACAGCGAGCTTTCTCTACCAAAATTCACACAAAACCATAAAAATAGTAGATAATTTGTATTATTTGATAGAAGGTTAATGGAAACTAACAAGATACAATTGATCCTCTATTCGAGAGAAGGATCGTCTCTCCCAAATATCTAAACGCCGCTAGAGCCCAAAGAAAACCTAAATCTAAGATATCTCAAATTTCAGCCAAATTCAAGATGACCTAACCCTAGGAAAACAAACTATTTAATGCATACAAATCAAAAGGAAATCCCTAAACAGTCCCTACATTCAGATTCCCTCCCAAAACCCTAAAAAATCCTTCCTAAAATGATCGTTTGGCGCTTGCGGTATGGTCGCAAGGAAAGAAGCGGAGGTTCCGCCTGGGCCGGTCCCGCGTGGACCGGCTGGACCGGTCTCACAATTTCTTTATTATCGACCGTCATACATCACTACACCCATTGAAGCCACATAGCCCCCTGCACAATTGACTCTGCCAATATTCTTTACAAATATCCTAGATAACCATCATCCCTCAATGTATAAATATCCAATTTTCTCAAGGAATGTACAAATTGCAAAATCTTTTGTAGCATATAAGTTCCTCAAAATAAAAACTATTTCCGTGTCCTCCCTAATTTGATAACACAATTATACTACAAATGCCTATCAACTGGTCAATCAACCAAGAAAAAATGAGATGATGGCAATTACAATTAACCATTTGAAAAACAAATCCCCTTAAAATCAACGTCATATCAATATTTGGTGATAAAAAAAAATTTCATCATCATCATAATCCTAATTCTCTGAGGCTTGCATCATCATCATTACACCTTTACTTCAATGTACCTTCCTTCTATTCCTAATATTTTATACGCTCAAACATAGTACCTTCCTATTGTTATTAATATTTTATATGCTCAAACAATTTCCCTATTATCCTATCCCCATCAAAACCAACTCTTTCTCATCAAATCAATTGATTCGAGCATCTTTTGAAACGAAAATATGATAGATAGATAATACATAATGAACAAAACCACAAAAGAAATTTTATTTATTTATTAAAAGCCAGAACACATTTGGATATTCCTATTTTCAAAACCAATAACATTCACACTAGCATGGGCGGACATGCACACGAGAGAGAGAGAGAGAGAGAGATCAGAGATTGACTACCTTCTTGTCAATAGATTTTTTTCATCTCCAAATTTACTTTCCATATGCTTACATCTTTGATCTTATCGAAATCAAAACAACGAATCGTTGTCTCTAGCATTGAAACAGTATAAGAATAAAAATTTTGTTGCTTTGGAGATATTCAGTCATGCAAGTTCATAATTTTTTTTAAATCGTCCAAATAGTGTAACATTGCATTTAAACAAGGCTAATGACAGTTCTAAAAAATAACTCTAAAATAGTCTTTTTACCCAGTCAGCAACACGTTTTCTTATGTGAGTGTCTAACTAAACAATCATAAATATTACTAAACTAGATTTTGAACCATCTCTTATAGGTTTGAACAACATCAACAATGCTTTATCTTTTTCTTTTTCGCAATATTTATAATAAAAATTTAAGAAAAAAAATATATTATTTTTCTATTGCTAGAATCAAATAACTCTCTCATATAAAAATATTATTTTCTTCCAGTCAAGCCATCCTTATATTGCCATTTTCCTACCTACCTCTTTCACATATATCATATATAATTATTGGTGTATCATTTTCTGTCTTGTAAAAGCTCAAAGTGCGGACTTTACAAATAAAGGATAAATACGAATAAGAATCATGCCAATGGTGCATGAATTCGTTGTATTGATTTGTGTGCCAACATGCTCGGTCCTTAAAAGTCAAATAAGGGCAATCAAGTTCAGCCCTACAAAAAATTTCTCCAAATATACATGATAGGAATAAAACCACACAACAAAAAACAAACAAGAAAAGAAAAGCAACAAAAAAATCAAGATTTAATGTGGAAAAACCCAAAATCGGGAAAACCCACAAAGCTAAACCACAGCAAGAAATCCACTATAAAAATGGAAGAAATTATACAGATCTCTCTTCTCACACTCTCTCAATATCTCTCTTCACTTCTCACACCGTTCTACACTTAAAACAACAAAGAGACACATTAGATGCAAACATTCGAATTAAATAAGAAAAACTGCTCATCCTGACTCGCAGCGATTTCGCATTATACCTACAATGCATCGGCACTAACTTCCCCGTCTCATAGTGCAGTGGCGTTTTGAACTATAGTGTTGTGCCATTGTGGCGCTAGGACTACAATACTACAATGATGTGTTCTCTGTCTCAAAGGGGTTCCACGGCGCCTTAGTGCTGGATTTATAGTGCTCAACTGTTAAAATTAAGGTTTGAGTTAATAGTACAACCTTAGATCAATAAAATCATATTCCACACAAAACTAATACACAAATGACAAATCAAATTTTACTCAATTGCTGATCCAATACCAATAAGCCAATACAACTCTGCTTGATCGAGCCTTTCACCCCCTATTATGGGCACAATCATTATAAATCATAAATTATGGGGAACCTAATTATAAATACTCCTCAAAAATAATTGCAAAAAAAATGAAGGAAACTTCTCACCCTTATGTGAAGCATGAATATTACATATCATAATAAAAGGTTTCAAGAGCCTTAAGTCAATTCCATAGATTGTACTCTCTTTTCACCTCTTCTTGTTGAGCCCACATCTAATTACTTTGGACTGCTAAGTTGATATCCACTATTGACAAGGGCTTCGAGCGAACGCTAGTGCATTGGCATACTAGGTTATTTTATTGGAAGCACAACATTAATGCTAATTTTTTTATGAATATCTAAAGATCAATTCATCATAGTCAATTTTCTTTAATTCAAGCAAATTGATGTGAAATTGCCAAGGGCGGTGGCTTATAGACTTAACATTTTTTGTGAGTTGTTGGCTTTATTTTGAGACGTTATGCATGAGTAGTGAAGTGGTTAATGTATTTATTGATTGTATTTCTAGTTGAACTTTTCCCTAGCCAGTATTTCCTTTTGGTGGTGGAAAAAAGATGCGGGATTCAAGTGATGGCAACAAGAGTTATCTATTTTTGGAGCTTATACAATTACTGTAGCCAGATTAATTGGTTGTTTTCAAGTGAATGAGTTCTCTGTTTGGGAGAGTTGTTTGATAGCATAAATAGGCATTATGTGCAATCGATTTATTTGTTTTGAAATAAAATTCACAGGCTATTACTTCTATTGTTTACGCTCCTTTTTGTTTGCAGTTGTACCTCACGGTTTTGAAGCTATCCGCATGCACAGATCCTGATAATCCTGTAGTTTTGTATGGCTTTTGGTTTCGTAGCCACTGATTTCTCTTCAAGATGCCAATTCCTAAAGCTTTGGCTGATTCATTCAACCAGCAGACATTACAAGTATTTCTCTTATGGACTGAGAATTGCAATTTTGTTTAGAATCCTTATATCCAATATTTATGTTAATTTATATTTAGAAGGCTGCAAATTTCAAGAATTAGAAATTTATAAATTATGCTAAAACATGCAATTTGAGAATTTTTTTCTAGAAT